AGCTGGAATCTCACTGTTCGATGTGGGATGATGTCTAGCACTGAGCATGCTCACACTCTCATATAACTTTATCTTTGGTTATTTATATCAAAAGAATCAAGGAAATGTGCAGGTTGAAGTAACATTTAAAAATTTGTTATCGCCTAAACTATAGAGTTTCAAAGAGTCAAGAAAGCAAACAGAAATAGCTTTCATACAATTGTATCGTCGACATATATATTCAGATTTTTAGCAATTTGCCTTGATGTAGACGGACCGGTGTATAACCAAGCACCAGCAGGCTATGATGATATATATGGTGATCACTGTTAACCCAAGTATAATAATGATAATATTAATGCATATATCTATCTTTTTCCTTCAGAACAATCAAGAAAAACTTGTAGACATTGCAATCCAATTAGTATTAGAAGATAATTCTGCAGTTCGTTATTTTGATAGCATCTTTATTGACGAGGCTCAAGACTTCGTTGGCAACTGGCAGCTTCTTTTTGATATTTTGCACAACAAAGGCGAAGGACACTACAAGTGGATATTTTACGATAACAACCAAAAGCTGAGATCTACCCCGCCGACACAAAACAAGTCACATTCAGAGTACCATCTTACGAAAGTCATACGAAACACCAAGAAGATATTTGATGCATCCATGGAATTTTATAGTTCACAGAAAACTGTCAAGATTGGTCATAAGATTGTGGGTCCAGAAGTTCAAATAATGTGCTTTTTTCCTCAAGATATAGAAAATATCAGTTCCAATGTCGTCCAATTTATCACAGAGTCCATTACTAAGTTAACATGTTGCTTGGGAGTTGCAAGACCGGGCGATATTTGCGTATTGATGGAAAATAAAGAGAGAGCGATAACGGTAGGACAAAAAGTTCTACAAATGTCAAATGGTAAAGTAGTGCCTTTCCAACTGGAGCAAATGGTTGAGTATATGGACGACAAACGTCAGTGGCCCAGAGATTTGATCGGTGATCGCGGAAACATTGGGGTTACTGTTGATTCTGTTTCTCGTTTTAAGGGTCTGGAATCCAAAGCTGTTATCCTTGTGATCGGTAGTCGTAAAACGCGCCAAGTCATAGAAAAGATGTATGTGGGAACAACAAGAGCATTTTGTCATTTAACGGTTCTTTACACTCAAAATGTCGTGCGTTCCCTGAGATCCGCTGAACTGGCAAATCCCTAAATAGATAGTATGTCACTAGAGGGAAAAAATAGAATGAAATATGCATGAGGATAAAT